ATGGTTTCATGTTGAGATGATCATTTACCAAGTAATTTAATAAAAGCATCTCTATGTTTATGAAAAGTAACCAGAAATCTTAAATACTCTGGTTCACGCTCCAAATCTTATAGATACCATTTAATTAATAGTAGTCTAGTATTTGTTCCATAACTCCTTTTCCTTTTAATGTTGATTGGGGGACAATCGTACGATTTTCTAATTCCTTCCAAAAGTTCAACGGAATTTCTTCTAAGAAACTGCCATGGGGCCCAGCCATTAGCGTAATGGCTATGTCGCTGGACTCCCACATAGTCGACCGCGGTTCGAGTCCCGGGCCAGGTGGCTTAAAACTCACACTGGGCGCGTGTTCGTGCGTGCCCAAGATCCCGAGAGGAGAATGGAGGAGAAGGGATTGCGGTGTGGTCATCCCCCCTGGGGGGTGATTTCTCGCTTTCTGTCTCTCTGTCTTTCTGGCGAGAGCACACACCCTATAGCAAAAACATGTCCAAAAATAAATAAATAACTAAGAAACTGCCATTCAGTAATTCCTTGGTTGGCTTATATAGCTACATTTTGAAGCAACATATAAATAACAATGTATAAATAATTATGTCTAGGTGTTTTGCATACATGATGACATTTTATCATTGCAACAATAAGATATAGGAATTATCACCATTATCATCGTTGTTCCCATTTTCAGAGGAGATGACTGAGCCATTGACAGATTAAGCAACTTGCCCAAGGTTACACAGATAGTGATGGTTTCCTGATTTAACACCAGAGATCTACCTCCAGGCCATTTGCTTTTGACCACTGTGTGTGTGTGTGTGTGTGTGTGTGTGTGTGTGTGTAGCTAGAAAGATAATGTTGTAAATGAGAAGAAAGAGTACATCTTTTTTGTTTATAATTACATAAAGATTAATAGATATCATTTTTAAAATGTGGTGTGTGTCATCTTATTGACTTTATTGATTTTTATAAAAAAAAAAAAGCCATAGATCTAAGTAGCACAATAATCATCTGTATAATAGGTATTTTTTAACCTATTAGGGATTATTAATTGATGAACTCTGAAAATATTTTATATTTGCTTTTAAGAAGTAATTTTTAAGCCATAATCCAATCTCCAGTCTCTCAATAAATAGAAACCTATTCCACTTGTTATTAGTTGGTACATAGTCTGTTATTTACAATGTCATGGGATTACCTGAGGAACTTAACAAGCCTAAATATAGACTTTAATTATGGTTTAAGTTGATATATTTAGCCTGAGTGAAAACACTTGTGTTCTCTTTAATGGCCAAGGGGAACTATAGAATCTAGTTTCTAAAATGAAAAGAACCTGTAGAATGAAACAGGCATTTAGAAAGCAATATCAAACTGATTTTAAATTGTAATTAGTGTGAAAGACCAAAGACTGTGAACAACTCTTCAAAGTGTCTTTCAAGCAGAGGGATAATTCTAGTAATACCAAGAAAAGTAACAGCTGCATGAAGTTTCTACACTAGTTCTTAGTTCTCATGTAGGTGGACTGTATCTGCTGATAGGGAGCTATTGTCTCAAATCCAAAATAATTTCAACTTTTAATCTTTGTTATGCCTAAGTTATTTTCTTTATCGCTTTGCTGCCAACATGTTTTATTTCACGTCATTGCATTCTGTTATAAATCCTCATAAATCACTTACTAGTAAAATCTTAGTAGCTTCCCCTCTTAGATAAAGACAAAGAAATCTTTATGTTCAATACACTTTGGAAATTGCATTTCTGTTTAGGGAGAGCTCAGACAGGTGGTTTTCTTTCTTCTTTTTATAATTATTTTTTTAATTTATTTACCATAATTATTATTTTTTAAAATTGATATAGGCACTCACCAGAGAAAGACGGAGAGAAAGTGAGAAAGCAAGCTGCCAGTTCAGGGACTTGAGCTGGGATCAGCCATGTGGAAGTCCAGCGCCTTTAATCACCATACCACCTGCTGGCCTCCAGACAGGTTTTCCATTTGTTTGTTTTAAAGAGATTTTTGCTATAGTGTGCATGCACTCACTAGAAGGACAGAGAGACAAAAAGCAAGACAGTCACCCCTAAGGCTGGCCATGCCACAATCCCTTCTCCATTCTCCTCTCAGGGTTTAGGGCAAGCAGCATACTAACCATACTCACCCAGCATGAGTTCCAAGCCTCTGGTCTGACACTCAAACCACAGCTGACTGTATGAGTGTCTAGTGTTGTAACCACTATACCACCTGCTGGTCCCCAGACAGGTCTTTTTAAGAGATACTATGTTTTATACTTGGGGCCAGCAGATGACATAGCAGTTACATCGCTGGACTCAAACCGCAGTCAGCCGTGTGGGAGTCCAGCACTCTTAACCACCATGCCACCTGCTGGCCCTGACTTTTTTTTTTTTTGGAGAGGTTTTCGCTATAGGGCACGTGCACTCGCCAGACAGACAGAGACAGAGACAGAAAGCGAGAAATCGCCCCCCAGGGGGGATGGTCATGCCGCAATCCCTTCTCCTCCATTCTCCTCTCAGAATCTTGGGCACGCACGCACACATGCCCGGCGTGAGATTTAAGCCACCAGGTCTGAGACGCGAATCGCGGTCGACTACGTGGGAGTCCAGCGACATAGCCATTACGCTAACTGCTGGTTCCCATGGCCCTGACTTCTTGACTAGATAAATAAGAATAAGAATGAGGAATTCTGTGTATAAATGACTTAATATATTAAATTTAAATGAATGTTGGGGCCAGCAGGTGGTATAGTGGTTAAGATGATGAACTCCCACATGACTGACTACAGTTCGAGCTCCGGACCTGGTAGCCTGAAAATCATGCCAGGTGTATGTGCATGCGTGTGTATCCCAAATCCCAGGAGAATGGAGGAGAAGGAATTGCAGTGTGGCCATCACTCTTGAGGGGTGATTTTTCACTTTCCCTCTCTCTGCCTCTGTCTCTCTCTCTAGCAGGTGCAGGCACTCTATGGCAAAAAACAAACTTTTTTTGAAGAATGCTATTATATAGAGAGCAGACTAGAACTTGAATAGGTTACAGTTCCTGTGTAATTGTTAAATCAAGAGCTCTTTCTTGTCAAGTATGGAGACATAAAAAGCTTTAACAACTACAACAACAAATAAAACGATCAGTAAGTGACTAGGATATAAAATTACATATATAAAATATCCCAATCATAATCTGTTATTATAATGTTGAAAGGTCCATAAAGAATAATAGAAAGGCTGTTTCATGATAAATATGGAGTCGAATGAATCAAATTAAATCAAAATTTTGTAGGCCACATTTTTTAAGAACTTGATTCAATTGGGAGAGAAAGCATTTTTCTACAAGTTTACTATAGAGTAATGTTAAATGGAATAAAATGTTGATCAACATTTTGAAATTATTTTCAAAGAGGCTAAAATGGAAGATATTTATGTCTTAATGTCAGAAGAAACATGTCCAATTGTAGACCTTTGTAACTTTTATTGGATGATTATGGCTTACTCTTTTTATGTTTTTCATGAAAAACATAAATGCATTGGTAATGCAAAACATAATATGTTCAATTTTTTTTAACAATTTAATTAAGAGGTAAGTTTGTCAAATCTTGTTTGCTTATTTTTGTATTTTATGAAAGAGAGGTGTGGGAACAAAGGGAGAGGATGAGAAGGACACCTGCAATGGGATCTTTTTTTTTTTTTAGAGAAAGCTTTTTGCTATAGGGCGCTTGCACTTGCCAGAGAGACAGACAGAAAGCTAGAAGTCACTCCCCAGGGGGAATAGCCATGCTGCAGTCCCTTCTCCTCCATTCTCCTCTCGGGATCTTGGGCACGCACACACACACACACACACGTGCCAGAGTGAGTTTAAGCCACCAGGTCCAGGACTCGAACTGTGATAGACTACATGGGAGTCCAGCGACATAGCCATTACACTAACTGCCAGTCCCTGCAATTGGATCTTCATGCAGAGATCTACCCCAACTCAGTCAGTGGAGCTCACAAGGGAGCGTGTGCCCGCTATGTACAGGGAGACCTCAGGACAGGAACCTGCGACATTCCCATGTGGCTTCAACACTGGGGAGCATTGTATTACCTAGCAATGGGTGGTTATATTACAACAATATACATTTTTATTTTTAAAACAGCCTCCTTTACAAGTAGGAGTGGCGGAAAAAAATCAACTAAATCATTTAAAGATTAAGAGTTTGTCTTGGTTTCCATGTGTTATATTTTGCCTTATGTAGGAGAGGAGATTGATATATGTACCGTATATGACTGTCTATGTATATGCACACCCACGCACTTATTTTCAGTATTGATTCATATGACTTTTAATTTCATTAGAAAGATGTGCGAGACATCCTCACTCCAATTCAGATTGAAGCTGCTTACCACCTGGGACAACATGTCATCAATAAACGAAGCACAGAGGAATTCCCACCACTTCAGCCAATTCTTCAGCAGAAGAAAGAAAAAGACATGATTATAAAAACGGTGGGGAAATTTTCCTTTCTTGCCAACATTACATAACATACAAGACTTTCTATTTGGAAAGTCATAATTCTGGATAAATGAACTATATGAATTTTAAAACTCTTTTCATGAATGTTTTATAAAACTAGATCTATAGTTTATTTTCTGTTTTTCTTTATTTTTTTATATTCCCATTAGGATACTGAACTTAATATTTTTAAATATACATTTAATCACAGCAGTGGTTTCCCATATATACATTTTTAAAACATTTTCTCTATATATATGTATTTTTTTAAACTGTCTCCACTTCTTTGAAGTGAAGAAAATATGTTACTAGAGATACACCATCCTGGAAGCAAGTCACGCTCACTTCAATGAAGGACTCTCTTCAGTGCTGTCATGTATGCTGAGTTTATCTTCTTTCTCATTTCCTGTCTTCTTCTCTCGTATTTTCTCTCCTCATGTTACCCAGGTTCGTGCATCTCTTTTTAGTCAGATTTCCTTGTTGGATTTTACTCGTTATTTATAAACATATGTATTTAGGTTATACAATTTCTCTTTTTAAATTTCATTACATGCTTTTTAGTAGAACTAATTGTATTTTTGAAGAGCCTTTATTCTAACTGCTAGTGAACTGCTTTTTCTAAATTTATCTAAAACCATTTCAGTTCCATGGAATGTATTTGCTCTCAGAAGTCCCTTTACTGTCCACAACACAAGGCATAGCCAACAGAGTGTGTTCAAGCAGGGTACAGAGCGTTCATTACCATGTTCACTAATGATAGGCAGGATGTAAAAGATGAAAGGGACATTTAAAGGTCTCGTTCGTATCCTGTCCAGCCTAAACTGCCCTTAAGTCACTTTAAGATATTTGAGCTTACAATAACCACTCTCTAGTCTAGAATACAAGATCAAATGAAGATAATAACTTACAAGCAAATTTTCTTCATTTTCATCAACTATTTTTAATTGTCTTTAATAAGGAAAATCTCAATATTGTAAGTACACAAGCCCAACCATAGTCATTTGTAGCTTTGAATTAATGTACATTTTGATTCTTGGAACAGGCTCTTTTACAAGTAAGAGTGTCAGAAAAAAATTTAATTAATTATGTGGAGAAAGATTTCTACTTCTTCTCACCAGATATAGGCATTCTGTGGTCAGACACCCTATTTGACAGTGTTCTGGTGACTTCCCACTTCATGTGCCTGGCTCTTTTTGTTTTCTAGATTTTTCTTTTCTTCTGCCTCTTTCCTTTTTTTTTTAACCTATTCCTTTTATCTTAATTTCTTTCTGTCTGTCTCCATTTATGAGTGTGTGTGTGTGTGTGTGTGTGTGTGCATGTGAGTGTGTGTGTGTGAGTGTGTGAGTGTGTGTGTAACTTAAACCTTAGGTCTTCCCATGTACCTTGTAGTATCTACAGGTCTATGGATTTTATTACAGTGCCCAGAGTTAAAGAAATTATGAAACCTTTACTAAAATTTTATTCAATGTTTCCTTCAAATAAAATTTCTATATGTAGCTATTTTCAGTGAATATAAAATTACTATACTTCCATCTGCCAAAATTCAGTAAGTGCCATACTTACGTGTAATAGATGGAATCAAACTGCAGCACCAAGAAATTGAGAGGAACTCACTCTGAAATGTCTCGGCAGATATTTTCCAATTATCTGTTTAGTGCCTTTTATTTAACTTTTTTCTCAATTTTTTTTGAGAGGTTTTTGCTATAGGGTGTGTGCGCTCGCCAGACAGACAGAGAGAGACAGAGAGACAGAAAGCGAGAAATCACCCCCCAGGGAAGATGGTCACGCCACAATCCCTTCTCCTCCATTCTCCTCTTGGGATCTTGGGCATGCTTGCACACGTGCCCGGCGTGAGTTTTAAGCCACCAGGTCCGGGATGCGAACCACAGTCGACTACGTGGGAGTCCAGCGACATAGCCATTACGCTAACTGCTGGTTCCCGACTTTTTTCTCAAATTTATTTCACCTAACAAATTTGGGCTTTAAATTGACCTCTTGGAAGAACTTAGTCCCTTTAGCTCTGCAGTTGTTTGTCATTTGGCCTACTAATTCTCAAATGAAACTCTTTCATAAAGATAGAATAAGAAGTTATTGATTTGATGTGTTAATTTCATGTTCCTCCTGCATCACAGATGTTTACTTTTTAAAATATGTAAAAATATACTTACTGAGACAAGTAGATGGCATAATGGTTATGTCACTGGACTCCCACATAGTCAAATGTGGTTCAAATCCCAAACCCTGTGGATTAAAACTCACACTGGGTACGTGTGCATGCATGCCCAAAATCTTGAGAAGAGAATGGAGGAAAAGGGATTGTGACATGGCGCTCCTCCTTCGGGGTTGATTTCTCATTTTCTGTCTCTCAGTCTCTCTCCATCTCTCTGGTGAGAACACATATCCAAAAGCCAAAAATCTCTCTCTTAAAAAAAAAAATACACACACACACACACACACACACACACACACACACATATATATATATATATATATATTCACACTTACTGATTCAACTAAAATAAAAAATATTGTCACATTTTATTTCCAGATAAACTTTGCAAGATTTTGTGCCCACGAAAATTGTTCTGCTGATTTACAGGTTTCTGCAAAAATTGGATTTTTCAAGTAAGTATAGCATACTCTCTATTATTCAAGATAGGGTAGTGGGTGCTTGCATATGGTTTCAAAGAGACAAGACCAAGAATTATAACACTTGAGAATTAGCAACATTTAAAGTACTAGAATGAACAGTGATCTATTTAGAGAGATGAAATGATTTATACGTTGTAATAAGCATACATTAAGAGCATCACTCTTAGACAAGCCAATTGTGTAATGATTACATCACTAAACTCCCACTTGGCCAACCACAGTTCAAGTACCAGACCCTGAGGCTTGAAACTGATGCTGGGCGCATATGCATGTGTGCCCCAAATCGTGAGAGTGAAGGAGAAGGGATTGCAGCACAGCCATCGACGCTGGGGGAGGGGGAGAGGGGGGCAGGTGATTTCTTTTTTTTTTCTTTTTTTTTAGAGAAAGATTTTTGCTATAGGGCGTGTGCACTCACCAGAAAGACAGAGACAGAGTGACAGAAAGCAAGAAATCACCCCTGGGGTGGGGGGGATAGCCATGCCTCAATCCCTTCTCTTCCATTCTCCTCTCGGGAATCTTAGGCACGCATGTACAAGCACCCAACGTGAGTTTAAGCCCCTGGGTCCGGGACTTGAACCGCAGTCAGCTACATGGGAGTCCAGCGACATAGCCATTATGCTAACTGCTGGTCCCCCTGTGGGGGGTGATTTCTCACTTTCTATCTCTCTGTCTCTCTGGAGAGTGCACATGCCCTATCACATAAATCTCTCCCCCAAAAGAAAGAATATCACTCTTCAAAAACTGAGAAAGAATATAGATGCACCAAAGCTTTATAAAGTATGCTGTGTACAGTGTATTGACTTCTTCCATAGGAGAGAGAGGTAGAGGGAAGGACAGCATGAGGGAAGGGAGAGGGGAGAAGAAACAGGGAGTGAGGAAGGTACCCCCACCTTGGTCTTTATGCTAAGCTCTACCCCCAGCCTCACTCAGTCAGGATCACGAGTTTGTGTGCATGACTGGCATGAACAGGGAGACCTTAGGATATGAACCTGGGATCTTCCTATGTGGCCTCAGCACGGGAGAGACTTGCACTATTGCTATGATTTTGTACTGGCCTAAAGCCTGTTTTAATGTCATTGACCACTCAGAAGATATTTCAGGATTTAATTATAGGTTGAGTAATCACTGTAATAATAGTTACGTTTTAAACACTTGTTAAGTGTCTGTTAATAGAGGTTGTTGGCAACATGAGCCTTCACTACATAGTGCTTACTGCTTTTTCTTTTTTCTTCTTTTTAAAATTTATTTATTTTTTTCATTTCATTTTCTTCCATACATTCTATCACATTATTATTTGTCTTACAAAATGGATATTTCGACAGGTGAACATTTCTCCCTAGTACTGTTGATGAAACCACGAAATATCTTCAACAGATAATACCACACCTCTTTGTGCCATTAATGCTTTGCTTCCCTGTCCCTCCCCCAAATGTCCTTCCTCAGACCCTCCTCTTTCACACACACTCTATCTGGTATTTACATCTATATATTGCGTTTCTATATGCTTACTGCTTTTTCATGCAGAGAATAGGTTATGTCATTTAGACTGATATACAGAACCATCCATGTATTGTTCATTTTAAAGGGAAGAAACCAACTTGCTCTTCTAAATTCATAAGTGGGGAAACAATGAAAAATAAATATATGTAATATGCTTAGAACGGTATCTAGAACATAGTGAAAACTAGATAAATACTGGTTGCTGTTATTTTATTGTGGAAAATAAACCATTGTCATTTGGTTTTATATCTAGATCCCCTATATTCAAAATGCTTTGCATATGAAAGAGAAATAAAAATGAGAACCAGAGAGAGCAAATCCACACTTCAGATTGAGGGTTAACTGTTCATGGGACATGAAAGAGGGGAAAGGGATATGCCAGTGACAGGGCAGGAAAATGAAAAACTATTTTGGGGGTTAGGATATAAAGTTTGATTTGAGGCACATTGAATATAGTGCGACTTCTTTACATAGCTTTCCACCTGAAAATATAGCTCAGGATTATATTTGGAAATTCTTCTACACATTAGTGACTTATGAGATTGCTCAAAGAACTAAGGATACAATCTTGTAGTATAGTTTTATTTAAACAGCTGCAAATGAGTAAGGATTCCCTGTAGGAATCTGAACAGGTATCTTCAGAGAACTACAAGGAGAACCCAGTTCATGGGGAAATAACCAATGGAGAATATTTAAAAAGGAACTTCATTGTATAAGATTTTGTACAGGTCACATCGCAGAATAACTAAGGAAAGGTCATGGACGTTGATGTAAAATGTAACCAATGGAGAAAAAAGGGTATCACTGACAAGCTTTGAGATGGAAATCTCAGTGCAGTAGTAGCTAAATGAGAAGTCTAGTGATTAAGGAAAATAGCATGTAATGGAAACAAGTAGGTGCAGTTAAATATTTCATACTTGTCAGATGTTATTTAATCTTGGGGAGATGAAAGTGTGAGGGTCAAAGACAGAGAAAGAATAAAATGGAGAGAGAGAAGCCTCCAGCTTATATCCCAGGGGATGCTTTCAGTCCCTACCTAAACTCTCCTTTTTTTTTTTCAGATTTTTGACATAGGGTGCCTGGCACTCGTCAGAGAGAGAGAGAGAGACAGTGAGTGGGAAAGTGAGAAATCACTCCTCTCAGGGAATGGCCACAGTGAAATCCCTTCTGCTCTCCTCTCAGAATTTTGTGCATGCTTACACACACATCTGGCATGATTTTCAAACTTCCAGGTCTGGGAATCAAACCACAGTTGGCCATGTGGGAGACCAGTGCCTTAACCACCATGCAACCTGCTGGCTCTGTGAACTCTCGTTATTTATTTATTTATTTTTAGGAAAGGTTTTTGGTATAGGGCACATGCACTTGCCAAAAAGACACAGGGAGACAGAGAGACAGAAAGCGAGAAATCAGCCCCCAGGAAGTGATGGCCATCCTGCAATCCCTTCTCCTCTATTCTCCTCTCGAGATCTTGGGCACGCATGCACATGTGCCCAGTGTGAGTTTAAGTCACTGGTTCCGGGACTTGAACCATGGTTGACTACATGGGAATCCAGTGATACAGCCATTATGCCAGCTGCTGGTCCCAACTCTCATCTTAAGCATATGACAGCTACTCCCTTCCTCTATGGAACATCTTTTTCTTTAATTTCCATGTTGCCATTCTGTTCTCTTTCTTCTCCTTCTTCACTTTTTCTAACCAATGTGTTCTTAGTGGTCTCTGGAGGATCTTTGATTCTTGCCTTCTTTGACCCTTTCTCTCATCAGCAGAATGATTTTCAAACCACCAGTCCAGGTCTTGAACTGCAGTTGGCCATGTGGGAATACAGCCCCTTAATTTTCATGCCAACTGCTGGCCCAAGCTCATTATGATTTAAGTGGCAGTCAACAAACTATAGGGCACCATTTCCCATGGTGTGGTCTTTGAGTCACCTTCATGGGAACCACTTGGGATGCTTGATAGAATTGCAACCTCCAAGCCTAGACCATCTAAATCAGAATCAGTGAAAGGGAGGCTAGAAATCTCCATTTTAAGATGCAAATTAAGGGGGCAGCAGGTGGCATAGTGGTTAAGGTGCTGAACTCTTACGTGGTCAACTATGGTTCAAGTCTCAGACCATGCAGCTTGAAACTTGCACCAGACACGTGTGCATGCATCCCTGAAATTCCAAGAGGAAAGGAGAGGAGTAGGGATTCTGGCAGGTCATGCCCTGGGGGATGATTTCTCACTTTTTGTCTCTGTCTCTGTGGTGAGCATGCGTGCACTCTAGCAAAAACCTCTTTAAAAAAATACATGTTAAGATATCTCTAAGATCCTGTCACACTGATAACTGGGAACTGATGCTGTGGTGGTAAAGAGCTGCAAATTTGCAGTCAAACTGACCTGGTTCAAATCCTCTAGCTACCATTTATTTGCTGGATGATCTTTTTAAAGAAGTCCTTTAGCCTCTCAAAATCTCTTTTCCTCAATGTTAAGTAGGTAAAAATAACACCTACTTCTTAAGATTGTTCTAAAAATAAAATGCAAGCAATACTTCAAACTAGGTACATAGCACAAATTCTGGCACAAGTGAAGGTTTGTTAAAAGTTTCACTATGTGGGACCAGCAGTTAGAGTTAAGGGCTATGTCGCTGGACTCCCACATAGTTGACCGCGGTTTGCGTCCCGGACCCGGTGGCTTAAAACTCACGCCGGGCGCGTGTGCGTACATGCCCAAGATCCCGAGAGGAGAATGGAGAGGAAGGGATTGTTTAAGGGACAGTGATGCAGCAGTAAAATACAACATTTTATAAGGTTGATCTGTAAGGGAAGGTTCTGGGTTCACATCCCAGGATCTCTCTGAGTATGCCAGACACACTTGTGCCAAGGATCTGGATCCAGCTGAGTCTGGAGTGTATCGTGGCATCCAGGCTCTGTTGGGATTGCTCACTCTCACTTACTCTCTTATTCTCTCTCTCCGACTTTACTCAAGTAAAGATAATTAAGCTAAAGTTGGGCCATGAAACAAAATATTAGAGTTCTAAACATTTCTTCGCATATATACTCATTATTTGTCCAGAGCTTGAAGTGGCTTGAATACCAGTGTAAAGTTGTAGGCACCAACTCTCTTTCTTATCAGTTAGAAAAGTCACCGACTATTGCATTAGGTAACTTATGATAACTTGTCTGAGGAATGTCCAAATGAAAATTCTTGTAATTAATGTCTTGAGCCTATAGTGAAAGGTTCTGATAAAGTGCTTTGCATTTTTAGTAAATTATACTCGATCAGACAAAACTATGCCTCTCCCACATGTGTCCTATATTCTCTTCTCAGTAGCAGTAGGCAAATGGTGACCATATGTTCGATGTATTCCACCAGCTATAACTCCAATGACACTTAAGGCATTTATGTGCCCCAGAGCTATAAACCTGCTTAGGTAAATGTATTTACTCAGCAAAGAACATGAGTTTCTGAAGACTGTAATAATAAACTG